GACGCAGGTAGATGCTAATAGATCCTATTGTTTCTCTCTTTCTCCTTTCTTCTGTTTTCCTCTTCTGGTCCATGGCTCTATTGTTCTTTCCTCCGAGCTCCTCATCAGCTTAACATTGTTCGTGAATTAGATCGGCCTTGTTTCCGAAATTCGTTAGGGCACTTACTTGGATATAGCGTGTCATTCGTGAATGCATCAACGTTAATGGGGTAAAGGGGCCTTAATGAGATGTGTACAAATTTACAAGAATACGTATGGTCCAGGAAGGAGAATTGATAAAAGTGGCGGATATCGGCTTTGTTGTATGCAATTTGACTAATTTCCAGGACATTTAATTATGTATTTTATTAGGCTGAAACAAGGTGTAAGGCAGCGCTTGATCGTGAATAGGATGGACCTTAGAGGATAAATGCAGAAAGGGTGGAGAGGTGGTGGTGCGTACTAAGAATGGACAAGGGGGAGGCACCGATATCTCAACCGTAATTTATCACCCAGCTAGAAGGGCCTAGTGGAAGACCGAAGGCACTTGGGCCTTACGTGTACACCCCGTGCCACGAAGCTGAGGTAGCTCGGAGTGAGCTACGAGTTGAGGCCCCAAAAAGCCAACCCTCATTACCACGCCCCTACACTTCCTAGTCATTATCTAGTGGTTCCAATTTCAAGATCAATTCGAATGCCATTCCTGTGCATTCTTTTGGTTTTCTTTTAGGCCCCAGGATTTCGGGACCTAATCGCGTGGCAGGGTTAACCGGGGTCGTCCCGGGTACTACTGTTGCACCGGTAGAAGGAAAATTAATATTATTACACAGACAAAATATCAAAGGATCGTTTGACCGAAAATTTTATGAGTCCCAAAAATTCTTGCTGATACAAATTTTTGAAAATTTATGTAATATTGGAGATTTCTCTGGATCAGTAATTTTTTTGGATAAGGTCAAATTTCATCCGGGGGGCTGGTTTTAAATTATTAGGAAGGTCCACCAAAAACAAATATATCGTTTCGCGCAGTGTGATAGATGATGTTGCTTATTTAACGTTTGGAGAAGAAGAAGAGAAGGAGGAGACAAGCAGAGAGGGTGATGCTCGTGTGTCATGTTAGTGTTGGTACCAAACCTCAAGTATGGGAGGGACCATCGTTTTTGGGCCTTACGAGGTACATGAGGTATATGTGAGGTTCAAGGGCGTGTTGGATGTGAACGTTGGGGGCAAGGCAAAGCAATTAGGAAGCACAGCAGGGTGCCAAATATGTGCTGTCTTCCTTCAACTTCTCATCCCTCTCTTCTTCTTCTTCTTCTTTCTCCTCCTCCTCTTCTCTATACGATCTTTTCTGAAACCTCCAAAAATCTCCACCTATTTCACTCATCGTCCACCTTTTCTACCTCAATCCACATCCTTCTCCACCCTCTTGCGTTCACATTAACGGTGGTGGTAGGGTTGGGTTATTCGGCTTAAAGAGCATCAGGCCCAACCCTGAATAGTATAACGAACCAGCTATACGACCCTTCCCTTTACTGCGCGTCCACACCCTTGCATTAATTCAAAATATTGATACCCTGCATACTCTCTGTATTGTAATAAATGCTGAAGACGCCTATCAATAGGCAACCCAACAAACAGCAATCACAATTTAAAATGTGTGAAATTCGATTTGAGATTTTAAATTTGGTAAAGAGTACCGGTTAGGATTTAGAACGGAAATATCTGTCTTTTTTGCACATGAATATATATTCCTTCGTCTCACTCGGACTTGTAACGAGTATAGCAAGTTTGAACATTTAATAAATTAATTCGTCACCTCAAGAAGGCTTGAAGAAGCGAGGAAGGTAATTGCATCATTGCTGCCAAACTCAGTCAATAATGCCTTTGAACCGGTGTCACATTATAATTATGACGTGAACACGTACTGCACTCTGGTGAACAAACGAGGAAACCCTTGGAACCGATGGTATAGTACTTCCAAATTACGATTTTGATATGGGAGTTTTGATAATGCAGGGAACTCTATTGACTGAAGATAAATAAATTACGCATCCCCGTAGGCGTCTGACCAACTGACGCGTCATCGACTATGCTGCCATCTGTGGGTTGGAGTAGCTATTACTTCGTTAACTCGGACAAACTGTGTTCAGCTAATAGCAAATTATCAACTGCAAGTTTACAGGATTCGATGTTTCGCTAGAATTAAGCCTCTTCGGAAGAAATTTTTATAGCCTTGCATTTGCGAATTAGCCCAACCTATACCATGGATTATATCGTTGACTGAATATAAATACCAGACATGTACGTAGATTTTGTGCCTCGCGGCTCTGATACGTACAATGTATATCTATGTATAGCATTTTAATTTGTAAAGTCCATCTGTAGTTATCCGCAACATCCAGGCTCGCGTAACACCATATCTCATAAGATATCCAGTCTGTTTATTTCTTCAATCAACTGGGAAAAGAATTTCCTTCTTTACCTACTGATGCTAAATATGAAAAAATTCAAATTATAATTTTAACCACTAAATCCCGAAATAATGAAACTCATAGAAAACCCAATAAGGAAAAATCTATTTTTTGTATCTGCGTACAAAAATTTAGAATTAAAATAAATAAAACGCTATAAAATTAATGTACAGAATTGGAACCAAAACGTTCCTAAAGATTTTCCTATTGACCCATAGTTCTAAGTTCTTAATGCATTTACCCGTCTACCCGTTCAATTTACCTTTCAGTACTTTAAAGACCTACAACCCTTACACTGCAAGGTATCCGAAGTACTTGCCACAGGAGTAATTTCAAGTAATTTTCCAGCAATATAATTTTCCAAATCGATTATTGACTCTGTAGAAAATTGAACAATTCTCCATATGTAATGCGAGTCAATGTCCTGGCATCTTACAATGCAACAGCATTGACCTCCTTTTTCTACTATCAAGACACCCCGTATATCGACAGGAATATCAATATGCTCAAGTATCTCTCTTGTTTTGTTACCATAGCAACCCTTTAGTCAAGTTCACTGATAACCCGAAGTCAGCCACCCTCGCAGTATTTTCCAATTGAGAACTGGGTTACGTTGGTCTTTGAAACAAAGGGATCCATTCTCAAAAATTCTTTCGGTCCCATTTAACATAATACAGTGACAATAATTTCAAAGTGTATGCTAAGAAGATCAATGTCACCCTTACATAATTTTCATAGGTGAATTAAACAAATAAAGTGTTTGAGAAGTGAAATTTAGTGTAGGACTCGTGACAAGGTTTTTAACATATAAAAATAAAAATGGCTACGAGAACTAGTCAACAGTGTCAAATGTGCAACAGAGGGATGAAACCTTACAATATTCCTTCGGGAGGCACAGAAGTAAAGCCGGATTCTTATACCTTCGTTAAAAGTCCTCGAGCGATACTTCACATTCAAAAAAAATATCGAAATCCACCAAGGTAAGGATAATTGAAATATTTAGTATCAAATTTCCATCAATCACTTCTACACTTTAATTATTCATTGATTGACAAAAACAAATATTGAATGCGCTTGTACTTTGTATTCCTCTAAGTATTTCTGAACTTTAATAATAACTGAGTTCTTGACGTTTCTAATCTATGAAACAAGTGGTTATAATGCTTGAGCTCAATATGGATTTGAAGAAGAAAAATGTTCTACAAAATAATTCATTGTTTATATGCTCAGGAAATTTGACAGGTCGACAATTAGTAAACTAAACACAAGATAAGTATCGTTAAATAAAATAAATTAAAATTGAAATAATAATCCTATTTATAAATTTATATATAATGTATGTCTGCACGTGCTCGTATATGTATATGTGACGTGTCTCATGAACTTCCGGAACGTCAAAACCCAACGTAATTAATATACCCAATGGAGCATTTTTAAAGTGTGCAAAAATATATATATATATAGATGACTGTGGTTATCGAAAGGGATGGAAAATTACAAACATCAATAAAATATCCACTTTTTATAGACTATATCATATATACAGTGTACAGGGTGTTCCACTTAAACGACTGAAGTTGAATGACCTGCGTTGGTGATTTTAATCTATTTTGCATCCGACGTAGCGAACACGTCGTACAAGGACAGGCCGAATAGTTAATGGCGACGTTGGGTCACGCGTCACAGTAACGTTCGTTAAGGTCAACATGACAGATAAGGAATTAGTAATACGACTAGTTCTACAATCCTCATATCAAAGTGAAAATGCAATATTTTCCAAAAAATGTTATAACTTGAAAATTTTGAAAAAATAAAAATGACATTTTAATTTTGCATGAAAAAAAAATGAAGCACAGTTAAAAAATAATGTATAGTATCTGGGTCTCACGATCGACTTTGAAAATTTTGCTAAAAAAATTAGTAAAACAAAATTACAAATATCAAAATCTTTCAAATACGTAATCTCGTGCAATTACCAAACGAAGTTAATATCCATTTGTGATGAGATAAAAAAATCATAAAAAAACAAACAAAGATTTTCTATCTTTTCCTCTATTACGCTATATTCATTATTCTAATCACTGAATTCATAAGCTGCGATACTGTTAAAAAAAAAAGTGAATAGAGCAGGGGAGAAAGGAAAAAAAATACGCTACTGTACATTCACGCAACTTTTCCATTCGTCCTGGCGTAGATGGTTCGAGAGGCCTCGGAGCACGCAAATGCGCCAAACACGTCTGTTTCGAAATTACTGAAATATTGTAACAAGGTGCAACAAGAATCTTGATATAACAAAATACTAAAAAAAAATGCAACAAGACCGTTTCTTTCCTCCTTGTCTTAATTATTGTCAAACTCGTCCACACTGTACGTACTTCACCTTGAGGTGTTGCTAGGTATCAAAACCGTCATGGCAAGTTCCCTTACTCAATATTAGTATCCATGTCTTTGATTTGACTCGGACATTCGTATTGCTGAGCATGCGCCTTAAGGAACTGGTCAGTGGTATTGAGTGGGCAGTGGGTAAAAATATATACTGCCCACGTCCGACACTCTATAGAACTAGTATAGGACATTGTCCAGTCTGTGAGCATACTACCCTTCTAAGAGGGTGGCCTCAGTAGCGCCGGGAGCCGCACGGAGCCCGTAAGGGTTGTTTGCGTAAGCCGAGTATTGCTGGCTTTTTCATTTTAATATTATTAAACTACAAGACACCGGGAACCACCAAGTACGTATAGTATACACAATAAATATTAAGACCCTAGGTCCATAAGCGATTTTTCAAAATTATAAATACCTTCGATACACTACTACATAAATATTTTAAAAAATAAGAAAAATCTAATTTTGAAAAAAAAATATTGAATTTTTTAATTTATATATTTTGCAATATACTCCTGTGATCGAGGCTCGATTAGACTTAAATTGTGTTATTTAATATCCATGACAGATTCTTAGGTAATGTACCGGTCGGTTGATATTTTCTTGGCTGATCGTGTAGAGCCGTTTTTACTGTCGCGACTTTATATACGGTCTATTTTTACGTTTTCAAATAAGTAGTAAGTGCATGGTTTTGCATAAGTGTCTAAGCTTTTGATCTTGGACGTGTCATCTTGATACCGGTAAAAAAAAGTTATTTACAATGTGACGTTCCAAAAAAATGTCTAGCTGTCTCGTTAAATCGTATCTCTGTAATTACTTTGGAATATACAACGTGTCCATCTAAGATTAACGTGTCGTGTCAGTCTCGTAATTACGGTAGGTATACGCGTATAAATAAATATGTTAATACTCGATATTTTTAAAAGTTACGTCGTCGGTAATTAACGATGCGTAATTAGCACCAGTAACTTTTCTAATTGAGATCGTATTACACATGCAAGAAATGTCTTACATCTTATCTATTGAACGGACGGTCTTATCAATTAGCATAGATACGCATGAGTAATTTATGAATCGCACGTGAAAACTGTTATTATATGATATATACCAGTAGCAATAAGTCATTCGTCCGTTTCTAATATATAAGTGCAATTATCGATTTCCAGTAAACAATTTTTTAACGGTATCATAAGAAAAACAAAATTTGCATTCGATACCTGGAAACTATACGACGATCGATACAAGACGCAGTAGCAATTATCAAGGTGATAATAGAAAATCTACGATAAGGGTATGAATTTGCTTATCAATAATTTCCTAGTCACGCGGACACTTTGTAAAGATTCGCGAGATCGAGCCTAAGTCAGGCGAGTAATAGCCTTATTAAAAAATCAATATGAGGCAGCAAAGATTGTTATAAAAGAAATAATTCTTAAAATTTTTTTGAAATTTGAGATTTTATCAAAATCAAATGCTCCAATCGATCTTTTAAGCAATGCCTGCCGGAATATCATCCCTGGCGCCATCAAACGCTCAGTCCTTTGACCTGGAGGATAAGGATCATCCACCAGCCTTTACGATTCTGCAAAAGGATGGCCTCGAGTCATCCTTACCAATGTTACATGTAGACAACGAGGACGAAGAAGACGCTAAGATTAGGCGGGAGAACAACAAGAACAATTTGTACAACCAAAAGCGTTTCAGCAAGTCAAACGATCACCTGGTCCTGGCTAGTCTACAGTACAACCAAGCGAACCCATTGAAGAAGCGACATAGCAAAAGCCACGGAAATTTGAATCAGGACAAAAAGGATACAAAGTCGAGTATGACCCTGTCGACCGAAGACTTCAACGAGGTCCTGAACGCGAAGTTACGGAAGATCCAGGAAGAGGAAGAGAGTCGCAAGATGAAAAAATTGTATACCGGAAACAACAATACATTTGTCACTCGCAAGCCCTTTATAACGACGGTTAAAACTGGGGAGTTTCTGATGCCACCACCGGAAGTAGCGTGTCTGCTTGGTATCAACCTGAACAACCACGAAAATGGTGAGACGCAAGAAAGCCATCCGCGTTCGAAATTTCGTCCTCTGGTCTCGCTGACAAAGAGACCGGAAGTACGTCACGAGAGCCACAACGCTAGATGTCACGCTGCTCTGAAAGCCACCACTGACTTTTCTATGAGTCTAATCAATTCCTCGTGCGCCACGACGGCCAGCGTCTCCGATGAAGTCGATCGCACCAGGTTCAAAAGGGACGTGGCTCATAAGTAAGTCGTGTATCTTTAGACACGTGGCGATCTAGTATACGTCTACTTGTATGCCTTACGTATTGCGTAGGGTGTTAAAGTGCGTAAGCTCGGCCATTGTTGTTTCTAGCAAGTTGTACCGGACGCCTAGAGCGTTACCCAAAAAGTTGGCACCGATCGAGAACACGATGAATATGCTGCCGATTCGCGGGTAAAGGAACACGCAACAACCTCACGCACTCACTCTGGCTGTGTTGATCGGTTGATCGTTTTAATGTGATATTTCGGTAAACGATCGACCTTAGGAATAGAATGATAAACAACAGAGGAAACGAGGAGATTGAAATTAATGCCACGTGTACGTACGTACGCAGGTACCACGTACGTACGTGGACAGGGAATTTCATGACTAATCGAAACTGTCGGAAATTCCATTTGCGAATTCTACGCCTCTAACATTTCTCTCGCAAAATCGATCGTAACACATATATTAAGTGTATATATATATATATATATATATATGCATACGTACGCAGGAGGCTTGGAAAATTCCTATGGCACCAAAGAAACATAACACGTTTCTAAACAAAAATGCTTATTGATGCCACGAATTTATGTATATACACTATACACTGTAGAGTCTGAATTTTATTATTTTTATGAATTTCTTTAAGATTCTTATTAATGATCAATCATTTTATTTTATCGATTCTAGCGATCAAGCTGTTCCTTACGGAAATATCATGTTCGATCGACGTGTGATACGCGGTAGTACATTCGCTTCTGCGCCTGTTCTGGTAAATTTGTTTAATTCTTATATTTCTAGGGATATTTTGGAAATTGTTAATTCATTCATTCTTTCTATGTAGATCGATGGCGAGCAATCGCAAGCAGCCAGACAGGCGGAAGCGAGAAGAAGACAACTGGCCAGAAAACGTGCACAAGCTCAGGCATCTAGAGCTTTAATGCTACGAGCTGGTTCGCCACCACCGGTTCCAGGACGAAAGCACGAACCGGTGCAGACGGAAGTCTTCCTGGAGGAGGTTCTTTTATGCATTTTTTTGTTTAAAGACAATTAGAAACTTCCGGTTTTTATTTTAAGCGGGGTAAATAATTATATAAATTTTTTAGCTTTTTGAAAAACCAGATGAATTCGAGGTGGCTACGCAAACTGATTATTTCCTGGAAAGACCCCCCACTCCTCTGTATTGTCCTGCCAAAACTGGTCAGGATGTCGGCACTCAAATATGTCCTGGTGACGTAAGTAGATGAATAATTTTTTTTTTCAAATATTATCCTTTATGAACATATCCTTTTTTACAGCTGTTCGACTATGACGTCGAAGTACAACCAATCCTTGAAGTCCTGGTTGGTAAGACGATAGAACAGGCTCTGATCGAGGTCCTGGAGGAGGAAGAACTAGCTGCCCTGAGAGAACAACAAAGAAGATTTATGGAGCTGAGAGCTGCAGAAAAGGCGGAACAGCAAAGACTGGAGGAACAGGAAAGACGCCTTCGAGACGAGAAGGTAAATTTGTATGAAAAATATATAAATAATGCAAATGAAAAATAATTACATTTTTTGACAACAGTGTCGCCGTCTAAGGCAACACGAGGAAGCTATGAAAACGCAACAGGAAACGGAAGACAGAGTTGCTGCGGCTGTTCTGCTCACAGGATACATTGCTGAATTACTACCTGCCGTCTTGGAAGGACTAAAAATGTCTGGATTCTTATTAGACGAGATCAAAGCTGGTTAGTATAGAAATTTTCAAATTTTATCCACTTGGAGATTTTTAGAATATTTCTATTACAACATGCCATTTTTACTTCAGATACCGAAGAAGGATTTATGCCATGGCTGATGAAGGAAGTGAAAAAAGAAATGGGCAGTATGATAGAAAGCAGAGAATTACTAATGGGTACAGAGAAATTCTCAAATCTAATGAAAACACAGTATAATTTTTCAATTAAAAAATTTTCTGCACTAATATCATGACGTTTCCGAATGATAAGATTTTCTTACGGTCTTTTACGGTCGATTCAACAGAGTGCAGCCAATCAAAAATATTATTCGAAAAATACTGTTTCAGTTTCAAACCGCTTTAAGCCATAAATTACCGACCGAGCACATAGACCCGGTTTAATTAACTTCAATTACCCAGACTAAAATATCTTTGCTCTTCGTGATTAAGGATCGACGATCCTACAGGACACAGTTGTGCTTTTTTAATATTCTAGATCATAGATCATTGCTATTTTAGAAATCGTACGAGAGATCCTGGAAAACAGAGCAGAAACGTACAGGCGTCTAGGAGAGGAATACGACGCGTCCATGGAGGTCAAAATGTCAGAGTTGATGGACGAACAGGAAGAGGCTGATGGACAGGATATGGACTTCCTGAACTACGAGCCACCAGCGATCGATAATCGCGACACGTTTTAAAATATTTATCGATCGAGGTAAACGTGACTCCGTAATAAATTATCCGATTACATAGTAACTCGTAATTAACGATTATACACAAAATTGTTGGTACCTATATTCAGAGTAGCTAAAGGATTTTAATAGGGGAAAAAAGGGAACTAGATTTACTTTGGACTTATGGATATTAAACGGACACCTTAACCAGCAGGAAAACCCAAATCCCTGCCTCGCTAGTTCCTACATTAAGCAGTGTACACAGCTGCACGACAAATCCATCTCTCCTGTCTTCCAATACCCACCCTTATAGGATATCACTATATATATGCGCATACTCAAAATCCCTATGGTAAACATGACAGATCTCTCTCAACGCCTATCAAGAATCAATCATTAAGTTTTACGTGGCTTTTCCTATTTTTCTTATAATAATCATATTTTTCGTTTACTCCCAGGTCATGGCCAACAACACACGGGGAACAAATTGTCACCGGATAGAAAAGTGCGTACTACACACAATGCCTGAATGTGTCTTGTTATTTACATCTTAGTAGCGGGATCGGTGATATATACATATATACATAATGATACGCGTAAATAAACTTCTATACGTTTAATTGGTAATTTGTTATTAAAGAAGAAAAAAAATTCCCTAGATTTACAATACTGACTATAGCAAGTTTTATTACCTACGTTAATGTTACGTGAATACCGTCTAACGATGGATTAAACCTAATGACAGTATAATGACAGTCAGGTATGACTATAGACAATCCGTAAGTGAGATTGGAACCTGACGCAGGTGAATCCTCTTGGAAGTCACCATTGGCCAAGAAACGTTTAACGAATTAACGTGTAAAATCGAAAACAATAATCTTCTGGAACTGTTCGCCGGACTATACAATAAGTTTAGTCCTTTCTTGGGTTTTAGTTGAAATTATTTTTCAAATCTAAATCGAGTCGAATTTTACCTACTGCTTTTGAAATTGTATACCGATATTTAATCAGTAGTTACCATCTTGACAATTTTTAGCACCACTATCCCAATGACCCCCCACCCTCGGCCTCAGAAAATAATAAAGACTCTTAAGACCCAATGTTAATAGGTTAAGGGCCCGTCGGATTCTTAACTGAGACACCGTTGTTTTATGGTTCGCACCAGATCGCGTGCTACGATATGGATGAGATGTATGGTGTCACCATGGGAAACGGGGGGGCCCTTAATTACATTGGAAAAGTCGTCACGCCACGGTTGCGTTTCTATTTTGAGAATTATTATTGCCGTAGTCCCAATATCCCGTAGACGTCGTAGTATTAGTTTCGCTAAATTTCACGAAACCTGTACCTAGACATTGCGGGTCTGTTCAAAATCCAGTTAATCCTGCCGAACCGAAAAATGAGGGTCACGACTTCTTGGTGTTATTCCGCCATTGGTGTTTCACTTTTACCTTGATATTATTTTACATGGCTATCTCGGTGGTGCCGATCAGAGGTATAAATCGTCGGGAGGAGAAACGTGAAATTAAATGACGTGAAAATAAATTTTTTTATGAAATTCATATTAGTACGTGAATAAAATGTGTCAGATACGTTATACAAGGAAGGTATGAAAATCTGAGGAAAAAAACTGATAATGATTTTTCAACCTTGATTTTTGAGTAAAATCATAAAATAGGGACAAGGAAATTGGTAATTTTGGAAAATTCTTACTAAATTATTATTAAATCGCGCATCGGTATAGTATTTTATTCAATAAATAATCTAAACAAAAAAATATTGTAGTTCAAAAGAAACACATTAAGGGAATTATCAGAGACATTTTACTAATTTTCAAGGCAATAAAACGCCGTTACTCCAATTAGCGAAATCAGGCCCAAAAAAGGGTTCGGAATCACAAAACCTGTAATTGCGATTGGGCCTAATCCTTGGTATCAAATTAAATTTTAAATTTCGCGCTGTAACAATTGTTAAAAATTCTCCCACAAATTACACGTATATATTGTTTTCCTTTTTTTTTTTTTGAGAATTTTTGCCGAGGGCTATATTACGTTATGCTTCACTAGGAACCTGTCTGATCCAATTGGGATTAGATAAATCATAATAGGATGAGGTTTCACGCTGAATTGAATATCAGGCACAGTTTTAAAAAGCCACCCACCTTTTAAGCGAGCCACCGCTTCTCTACCACAAGGGGCCTGAAGAGATCGAGGGCTCCAACATATTGTATTGGATTAAATTAAGCAGGGGGAATGCGCGTACTATTATATGCACAAAACTTGTGTGCCAAGTGAGTCGTGTTTTAGGACGGGGTGATCGACCCCCCTATAGGCTGATCTGCCGAAGGGGATTCTAATATTATTTTGTCATGTGACCCATGTCACCTGCCCCGCACGTGATTCTTCTAACTCTAATACCAAATACGCGGTACTGCCAACCCCGCAAAAAAAGGACACTGGCTCTTGGTTCTGCAAAAGAAAAAAAATTCTGTAAGGCCCATATACCATATAATAAAAAAAAAAATATATTTTCATATCTTTAAATATACATCATTGAACCCTTTCAATTGTATTATGATAATTTCGATTATTTTCTTTATGATTCCTCAATTAAATAGAATATTCCAAATTTTACTAACCATTACACTCAATTGAGACCATTTGGATTGACTCTTAAAATCGTGCAAACATTTCCTAATGGCTAAATACAGCCTCTACACATAACACCATAAAGTGACTGCACGCGTCCCACCATGGGGTATCGTATGGTCACGTGTCATGTTACATGGGACTTATTTTCACTAGATGCAAGCAATATGTCGGTGCCACGTGCCGGAAAAATCTTCACTCTGACTTTTATTCAATTGTAACTTTTCCAAATTTGCTTAAAATTAACATTTTTTATGTACGACAAGACTAATATAAAAGCGGGACGGGTTGCTATACCTAGTGGGATGATTCGAGCGAATATTAATAACAGACACAAGTCTGCATATTATCTAGTCGTACGTGGACGCCATTAGCAAGGACTTTCGACACTTGCAAAACCGTATCGAATCACCTTTATAGCGAAACACCCCGCAAACGCAGCCATAATTCAGCATCCAAGCTGCGCCGTTCGTCGTAGTTACGTTCTAGTAATAGGGGATGCGAACAATAAGATTCGTTCTCCTTCTGCTAGGAAAAACACCCCAAAAGTCACGTTAATTTTTCCAGCGCACCCCCAAAACAGTGTCATCGTAGTGTCTTTCATGCGAGGGATACAAGGTGAACGTGTAAAGTTTCATAAAGTCAGAAGAATCGTCAGTACTTGGACGCTTCGAAGTAAGGGTAGATTTTTGTTTTTATATTAGGGGTGGGATTAAAGGAAAATAGAAAATTTCTGAATACCCTGTTAGTCTTGATGTCTGATTTTAAAATGAAAGAAAGTCCTAACGCGTTAAGGGGAATGATGGTGGATGGTTTTGATGCGCGTAGCTCAACCAAGAGAGGGTGGTCCCGGCTTATTTTAACCACCGATACAGGGGTAGGTTAGGGTAGAGATCGTAAGGGAGTTGCGATAATACGTAGATGATAATCGCGATATTAATATCGCATTGGGAAGCGCACACATGCGTGCAAGGCTGCATTGGTCACGGAGGAACACTTGCTCGCTTGCTGGCACCGCGGTTTGGTGTGTTCTCTGAATGCACCCTGATTTCAGGGTGGAATAGGGGTGGCAACCCTCAAGCCAGGACGACGCGCTGGAACCAAATTCAGAAGAGTGACCGGTGGGGTCCGGGAAAAATTTCTTGCTGCCGGTAAACCTGTTAGGAACATTGACGTCACGTAGCAGGAAACTTACTACTGTTATTTAAAAAAAAGGTGATTAATTAATAATAAATATATATATCTCATATAATAGGCATTTAGAGCATTTAATTCCTTAATATAATAAATGTCACTGTATTCTGTGTTATGATGAAGAATTCGAAAAGTGGTATACACTGGGATTTAGGAAATTTTGAAAAAATCTTTTTCACCTATAAATTCTTTCAAATGACCTGGAAAGTTACCAGAAGCTGTACACCCTTCTCCGCGATGCAAAGTAGGGTCCTTGCTGGAACACTTGCTGGAACCATTCTGGTACATACAAGGGGTGGTATGGTCTTTGGATTCGAAACACTCGTGCTCGAGTTTCAAGGGATGGTAGAAATAGGGTGGTGTAGTTAAGGGAGAGAGTTGGTTCGACTTGTGAACACTTGTGTTATTCCCTGGTCCGACACCATTCGTGTCCCAGTGAATCACAATTCACAGACAGAAGCAGGCACTGCAAAAGTAAGAAAATAATTTGCGAGGACATGAAAACTCGTGGGCTTATGCGAAATACAAATTAGGCCTAATAACATAAGATCCTTAATCTATCCTGGTGAAAGACTATCTAACATCATAAATGACTTTAACCTGCTGACAATGGTAATGAGTACTAATGAGTACTTTTGAAAAACAGGTGAGGATATACCAACAATTTCTTAGCGCGTTTAAGCGTAACAAAAAATCTTCTTCGCAACATTTAGACCTGGGCAATAGGGCCAGTTTTTGATTTTAGCAAATTTTCCAAAATTTTTGCACTATCTGCGGGTATATTTCATAAACACGAAAAGTCCAACAATCAATGTTCCCCTATGACCCTCATGAATCCTACTGTTTTGGGCCCTATAGATTTATCGTGATTACGTATATGTCACAGCAGTTACGTTTTATCTTATCAGTACCGATCTATCTATATGCATAAGAGCGAGATGAATGAACCACTTAATTTGTTAATCAACCGTTGATTCAGATGCACCTTTTCCTCTTGCAATTCAGATCCCTTCGCACTCAATGGGAGGCGCATTGGTTTGCAGCTGAGCCAAACAATGTCCTTTCACATGAAGCTTTTAAGGCCCCATTCAGCATCAGGAACCCTGTATCCTCGTGACATTCGCAAGCCATGGATAAATCTGGCTCCAATCCACTGTACTCGTATGACGAACCTAAAAAAAAAAAGCAAGAAAAGTAAATGAAATAAAAATTTTTTAAAATCATCAGCAAATAACTATTAAGTCTGAAAAAAGTACCCTGTCTGAGTGTAAGTGGCGCTGAACCCTCAGGCACCTGCGAAATAATGCACCTGCGTCATTGAAACCTGTCTGGAAGTATTTGGAAAAAGTCGAATATCCATTTCAGCCCTTTCCCGTTTATATCCTTCATAAAATGCTATTATTCTGCGTAACCTACCCCCAAGCAGTAATAAAAGAAATATTTCTAGATGAAGATCTCTGTTTCTTTTCACTATTCGTACATTTTCTAAGCGTGCCCCTCGGTGCCGTTTCACTGCTGCCCATAATTTGCAATTCTTTCAAGCATTGTCCAAGACGGTCAGACAAATTGGTATTTCCTTTGTAAAATCCCCTTAATTCTCACGGCCAGTGTACAAAATGGAGTGGTTGAATATCTGACGACTGGCTCCTTCTGTTTGGGTCTCAAATTTTAAGCGCCGACTGCGCTATCAATGAAATTGGCACCGGGTCAACCAGGACAGAACGTCATCGATGATCCTTGCTAGAAAATGTATACGTTCCAACCGAAATTCTGTGAGGATTTACCTGACAAAAGGGACGCCAGACAGAGGGGTCCGGGGGGGGGGGGCAAGTACTTTTATTATTACTAAGATCGACAAGCCTGATAGCATCTTTACGACTATGTACCTACCCAGGACTCAAAACTCCAAGACTGAACCTAATTTGAAGTAGGGTTAATCAACTTGAAGATCAGCTTGGTTAACCAGGAGAAGGTTCAACTTGGAAATAACCCTAATACAGATGCCAATAATTGCAAGTACAAGTTTGCTTAATTCATCGGACACCTAAAACAAAAATAAAGACAGTTACCTATCAGATATAAAAATGTCATATAGATATACGTACTTGATAAAATCCACGTGTAGACCGGACCACGTGTCCTGTCGTTATCCCGATAAACCGGTAGGAGCACAGTGGAGAAAAAAATGGTGGGTGCGTGCACAATGTTGGTAGACCAATGATGTACCAATGAAGCAGTGTAGCGTGGAGAATATGCTCCACCCTAAGTGTTACCAAGCATAGGATGCACCTTGCGGTAGTAGGCATCCCCTTCAGGATCGAGCCCTAAAATAGAGAAAGAGACAAAAATTGAGAGAGATGGAAATCACCACCCCCATGATTTTTGGTTTGGCGAATGAAACAGAGGGGGAAGGTTGAAAATTCCCCCCGTGGCTCTTTAAATACAATTACACATATACTCATACCAGAAGAGGGTTGGTTCCTGTTCCATCGCTCAAGCAAAAGTTCGATGGTGGGGATCTGGTCAAAATTCGACAAACCCCCACCCCTGTAGATTATTTAAGCCACGTGCAGTCGGTAGGTCATACTCAGTTGTCACCTTAAGGCCGCAACAACAGGATCAGCCACTGAAAATTTCATGGCGTAAATTCATTGGTGTCCGCTTGTACACCAAACGCTTAAGATACTGTATTTTTAACAAATTACACTGGTAAAAAAAAAGAGCATTAAAATCAATCGCGAATTGTACTTAGGGTGACAGAAAATCAGTGCTTTTGAGTTTGACCGTGTGCCGTGAAAAATATTTGCAAAATTTTTCTATCGCTCGAAATAAATATTATTGCAAACGCACATGGAGCCCTCCTGTCGGCGAATTATGTATCCGATAATACCGGAAGCTGCAATTGTGAGGAGTATCGAAGCACTGAAGAGATCCACGATTGCGGACAATGACAGACCTACTGTTCGCGCAGCAACTTTATTAAGAAGAGACTCTTCTACTCAAGTGATTGACGTGAACCGGTTGCCTCACAGGAATACACCTATCATACAGTATGTAAGTATAGTATACGACAACAATACCTGCCCGGTGTAGCTATAGATTGTTTATCAAGAGTCATAGTAGAAGCTTGCTATGATCTCGCACACAGTACTTCTCATTCAATAAGAAATTTGATAAGTCAAGGATTTAATTCTGACAGCGACCATTCGTATACGTACCAAAAAAATTGTATATATCGGAATACATTTAATTTGACCAACTAACCGAAACAGAATTTTAGAGTATTTTCCGTGAGTGCGAAAGAGACGAACTTATGGAGATTTCTATGGGTAGACATACAGATGACGTATGTCAGTCAGTGATTAAAAATTTTTAATAATTTTTTAATCGTTAAATACTCGATGAAAGGTGCAAAATATGTTTATGGATTGAAAAAAAAATTCTTAATTATAAAATATTGTAAAAAAAATATGTATATGGAAGTTGTATTATTTTATCGTTTCTCATGGTAAAATATTTTTTTAATGACAGATCGAGGTTGCCGAAACGGAAGGTCGACTCTATTGCCTCGATGGGCTTGTGAACTCCACCTGCTGGGTGAAGGTAGTTCCACTTGCTGAAGACTGTCAAAGCTGCAACGTTATCTTAATGTCCACTGACGGCGGTGTCATATTGAAGGCAATAAGAAGTATAACACCTGGTGAACCGTTACTCATGTGGTTCACTGAGAATATTCTGGCGATGATGAACATGCCTTTCCTGACGCCGGCTAATATAAGAAGCAAACGTCCCGGACGCGTTCTGGGAATGATTGCACCGAATGGGCCTACAGTGAGTTTCAAGGACGCAGCATCATTCCCATGGAACACTGGTCACAATCGCTACATATGTCACATGTGTCACGATCAATTCGAATTTCCAAATCCTTTGAAGATTCACCTGGCCTTGCAATGTGACAGACTTGATATCAATCATCTCTGGAACGTCTTGACCAGGGAACTTACGGCTCCACCAAGAACCACCCTGCCCCTGGACATATTCCCACATAACGTCCAGCCCTTTCACTTCGAATTGACCAGTTCACCTCATACGTCGCCTACTAGGATATCGCCGATCATCGTGGAGACGCGTATGGAGAGTACTGCGACCTTGACGGAGATTTCACCAGGTTCCTTGATTCAAGTTTCACCAAGCTCATCCATTCATCCCTCTCCGAGCTCTTCGATCCAAATTTCTCCAGTTTCTTCGGCCCATCCTTCGCCAGTTTCTTCGACCCATCCTTCACCAGGTCCTTCGACCCAAACTTCTCCAACTACCGTGATCCAAAGTTCACCAGGATTGTCAGCTGAATGTTCTCCAGTTTCTGCAACCCAAAGCTCTCCCTGCCTTTCGAAGCAACCCTCCCCAGGTCCATCCACCCAATCCCCACCACGTTCCTTGGTCCAGCTCTCACCTAAATCGTCCAACCAGGTATGTCGCATCCGCAAGAACCTGGGGCACAGGCATTCGGCCTTTAAGCCGTATATGAATCAGCCCCACGTTTACCCTGTCCCTGTAGTAGCACATGAAGAACCCGTGGTGCCCCATTGCACTAGCTACCACGTGACGCCATCTCATGCTCAGGTACGACCTGAGCTTCACGCTGCTCAGATGGAGACGATCGTCAGCAATCTTGGAAAATCTAAACGAGGTCATCTTTGCATTTACTGTGGAAAGGTCTACTCTAGAAAGTATGGACTGAAGATTCACATAAGGTAAGAGACTTTGACCATCTGATGATACTGTTTCAAGTGAACTTGTGACTTTTATTGACCTGGTAACTCTTTTTTTCTTCAGAACTCACACTGGCTACAAACCTCTGAAATGCAAATACTGTTTGAGACCTTTTGGCGATCCCAGCAATCTGAACAAACATGTTCGACTACATGCTGATGGAGACACTCCTTATAGGTGTGAGCTTTGTGGCAAGGTTCTAGTTAGAAGACGAGACTTGGAACGTCATATTAAATCCAGACATCAGGATAACGCTGATCTAGCCTCTGATACCTCTTCCGATGGTACTGATGTATGAAATGAATTTGTTCTTTTATTATTCATTACTGTTTTATATGTGTATATATATATGTATAGAAATTACGATACTTTTTCCTTGGTAGGAAGAAAACGAGATTATAATAGGCTTAGAAGCGTTGATTCATTGTCTCAAATTCATTGATAGTCAATTTAAGGGATGAAGAAATCATATTCTATTTATAGCTTTAAGGGCAAAAGAAATTTGCAGTCTTGAGGTCGCGTACAAGACAGAAAAAATGTACTTTAATAAGTTTATTTTTGGACTATTAATTCAGGTTCATTCATGGGTCAATTTAAACTGTAAACACACAAAATATTCTAGTTACAGCTTTAGACACACACAAAATTACGACCTTGAAGTGGCGTTAAAAAAAATTACTTGCAAAAATATTGTCCTTATTGGGATTTCTACGTAATTTTAAATGACAAATTGGGTGGTGTGGGTAAGGGATGACGTTCCTCATGGCGCATTCACGTGTTTGAGGATCGCAAGGGTTGATCTTCCGTAAATTACGAATTTACCTTAGTCACGTCGTTATTTAATAGGCTCATGTCTTTGGGCATTTATTATAGTTATTTTTTTTTAAATATCTCCCTCTTTTATTATTTTAACGCATTACTGTACATTTCGTGCAGTAAATATTTAAAAAAGCAGACTTGACTGACGGCCGAACTTTATTTCGGCAAGTTTATTTAACGAAACAAAAAAATTAGATGTATATAAATATTGTAAAATTTATATATTGTTATAGGAAACAAGCGAATTTTTTCGCTGATCACTTACAATAGACTTTTAGCTAATAAGCATACTCTATATAACTAGCAACAGATCAATGGAATTGAGTACAAGTATACGGTAAATCATACAAGTGCCATGTAAAATAGTATTCGATAAGTTGTGCCTTTTTTCTTCTCAATATGAAATGAAACTTTGTCAAACCTTTTTCCGGTAGAGCTCATACTGTATTCGAGCTATCAGCGAATTATAGATATAGAACCTGCTGTAAATAGGATGGCAAAAATATTTTTATAATCATATATAAGAACATTGTTAACTTAGTATGTATACACAATTTTTAAATAAACTTGTTACAAGCGCACATTTTAGCATCTCATTTTAAGTTCAAAAACTCACCATTAAACTTTCAAGGGTAATCTATTTTGATAGTAAATAAGAAATAAATAACCAGATTATGGATATATTTGATCCAAATAATAATGAGCATGAAAGATATAGTACATCACATGCAAAGCATGTTTTTGTTACGTAATTGGATTCGGTTGGTACGAAAGATAACAGTCGGTACAGTCGTTGCAAACGCAATATAAGAGGTTGATTCTCATATGTTTTACATGATTCATGGTTAGTGGCTGCAGAAAATAGCGCCTGCGCTCGATTTATTCCTTCTCTTGGCAAACCTTGGCTTTTATCATAAAATACAGGTACGATTTGTGTGACGGTGAATTTAACAAAATTTTGAAAGGTAATGAAATAAGAGTGTAATTCTCATGAATGAAATTAATAAAAGAATATGCTCTATTTCAATACACGTAATGGGATTAATAGCAGAAATTCGTGACAGAGTTAACCGACTTGTTTCGATCCTGTGATGTAACACTCTAATCGTGTCAAATACTGTGCAAAATAGTACTATAAAAAATTTTCCATGATTTTAGGTAAAAAATGGCTACTATTTTTCGTACACTTCGCCCATGCCTCAGGAGCTTACGGAGCCAGACCAGGTCATATGCCGATGCTGCTGGAAATGAGATGAAGTTTACTTTTGCTGGAGCCAACCAGGTACCAATAATTATAGTTTTCTGATATCAAAAACATGAATTTTTCAAAAGTTAATTTTTTTATACAATTCTTTTAGGTATTTTATGATCAAGCTGCAGTTCGTCAAGTAGATGTCCCTTCTTTTTCTGGGGCATTCGGTATATTGCCAAAGCATGTACCAACCTTAGCTGTTCTCAAGCCAGGAGTTGTTACAGTTTACGAAGAAAGTGGTGCAACTAAAAAGGTGTTCGTTTCCTCTGGTACAGTAACCATCAACGAGGATTCTAGTGTTCAGGTACGGTTTATTATTCATATTTCGTGTACAGAGTATATTTTCTAGGAAGATCATTATATAATATATTTGTGGTATTATAATATACTGTTATTTAGATTCTTGCTGAAGAAGCCCACCCTGTCGACAGCCTTGATAACAGTGCTGCAAGAGATATACTCAGTAAGGCCCAACAGCAACTGTCTTCTGCTTCATCGGAAAAGGAGAAGGCTGAAGCAGCCATTGCCATAGAAGTAGCGGAAGCTCTTGTTCAGGCATCGCAATAATTAGATTTCTTTACACAATTAAATCATAGATTCACATCGCGCTGAAATCTTAGAACAAAGTATGTTTTCTGAGATACATGCTCTGTAACAGTCTGACCTTGTTATGTCTCTGTACAATTATATTATAAAAATAAAGCATTAATTGTAACAATAATTTTCAGCATCACCAATTTTTTAAGTGTACCCACATCGAAATGAGAAATTCAGCCGTACTAAAAGAGAAATTTTCAACAATGAATAAAATTCCCATCATAAATGGCAGTGTACAGACATTTCTGCAAACATTTTATTGCGTATTAGTTAGGTCATATACTTTGAAAACATAATATGCGTCCTACATGTTATTAGGTACACCAAGATTAAATTTCTTTTTAAACGAGTATGCTTTAAAAAGTACATAGTAACAGCCGTCAAAAATTACACACTGAAATTGTTAAGACTTTTTTTTCGCCATAAAACTAATTATTATTGAAATAACAAATTCCTGAAAAATTCCATAATAGATACCTCAATTAAGGCACTCATTATTCTCTGGAGTTACGGCTAAAATATGAACGCACCTTACTATACAATTCTTCTAAACGAATAGCATAAAAAGCATACTGTTTGTAAAAAAAACAAAAACAAAGGAATGGCGCGGCTTCGCATACCAGCCCATACAAATTTAAAAAATAATTTGGCACACCCAATCCAATTTTCACATGTTTAACATAAAAATGTAACAAAAGTTAATTAATAAATACACCGTGATAACTTTAATTATATTTTAGCTTAAATCATTTGGTATGACGTGTGCTTAGGACTCCATCTTTAAGCCATTGCACACTGAACTATCACTTGTAAAACAGGTGCTCAGGATGGATTTAAGCTTTTCGCATAGTTTTTCTGTGCTCTGGAAAAATCAAACTTTGGATATTTTGTACACGAGACACAAAATCGCCTACGACAATGATTCACCACTTAATATAATGAAAGAAAAAGAAATATCCAACATAAATTAAAATATACTTAAAAGTATATCCTTACACGTTTTTATACTTTGCAGGGGAACAAAAAAAATAAAAATAATTCAAGTATCTCAGGAATGGCGTCTGATATTGCACTCTATCGCATTCTTCAACTTTTTTATTATTTTCTCTCTGAATTCATTAATCGTCCCAAGCTTTGTGAGACATGAAACGAATAACTCTTGCTCAATTGAAACATAAATTCGTACTGTATATCAAATGCAATTTCTTGTAAATCTAAATAAAGTATAATGCGTCAGGGAATTACCAATTACACTTAGTAGAAATCCATCGTTAGGTTCTAAAAATTGAATGAAAAAAAAGTCATTGGTACCGAAGTTTAAATTCCCAGTTTAGAATTTCTTTTTATAACGCAAAAGAAGAAAAAATATTCACTAGCTTTTATATACCATAAATAATAATAAGGAAAATACCTACAGGCTTTGTCGCGCCAATCTGTGCCTACTTGAAAATCCATGTCATTCACCATTGTTAACCTTTTAGCTACGGCTGGACTTTCTGCAACACTTTATTATCTCTATACAGTAGCAAAACGCTTTGCACTATGACATTATATCGGAATAGAGTTATTAATGAATAAATTATAATTTATTTTTTATTTTTTTATACTACAAAATTTTTCATATTATTTTTTATATCCACGAAGTCCATTATAGTGGTGTTCAGTAGCTAAAAGGTTAACGATACTATGGAAAGACATATAAAACACAGATACTCTGTATGTAATTTTAAGGTCACATATTGGCAGATTTGTAATTAAAACTTTATGTTCCTTGTATTAGTAATAGATATTTTTTTTTTCAATTACTCCTCCGAATTTTTTTAATTAATCAAGAGAATCTAAATTGATTATATCATTTCGGTAAAATTCTAGATTATTGCATAGCTATTATAATACAGTCGTATATTCTCTATAATTAACTTAACGTTAATATCGAATATGCCTGACCAATCACGTATCCGCTACACGCTAGCGGACAATGCGAACGGCCTGTTGATAAAAATCCGCAAATTTCAACAAGAAACAAAACGTCTATAGAATACCTCTCTAATATAATAATCGCGTAACAATGATTTTCGCTTTTTATTTTAATTTTATCTTCGTTTGCTATGACTAGTCATTTGACGCGATATTTCAACTTCACTTCATTGATTATTAGCTAATTGACTTTTAATCAAAGCTATTGGTAACATACTGTGACGCTCGGAAGATTTTCCTCTACAACAGCCACCAGCGGTGCTATCCTTACAACAATTACGACTGAAAACTCGTTGTAATTGTTGTAAAGTCTTCAAGCATATAACAACACAGCAAGAACCACATCCGGCAGATCCACTTTCGCACGAACACCCGCTCTGCAAACAAGACACGAGATCATTCGCATTTTCAATTTGAATATCCTTTTTCTTAGCGTGCTCTATTGTGGTGGGCGGTGCGCTCGTACAACTTTGACAATTCGACAAGTCATCGCACTTGCAGTCAATACACTTGCAAATATCAGCATCCGCTGTGATCTCTTGCAAGACATTTCGACTCTTTCGACTCTTTGGATTTTCAGTTTTCGGACTGCTCTCCACATTGTCCAAACAATTCATGACTATCTCGACATTGACTTTACCACTCTCTGTATCAATGGTATTGGCGCTTTCTAGAGTCGGTGTGTTTTGTAATTGACTTTTCAAATCCAGTGGATAAGGCTCAGGACCGACTAAATCGACCAGCGAGTGTACAGCCGTGGGAAAGGCATTCAGTTCTGACCAGGATTGAGTTCTTAACGCAGGCGCTGTAGCCAACGCCATTACGTCTATCCAAGGTGCGGGTAATTCTTCTTCAGAAGCCATAGCCAGTTCCACTGCTTCCGATTGACAATTATTTATTATTTTGGAGGACATGCTATCGGTAACGGTGGTTGTGGATTCTGTTGCTTGAATATCCTGAATATTCGTGTCATCGACAAATCCCAATGATTCGATATCACTGGCGAATAAATTGGTATCGTTGTTATGATTAACCATACTTGCAACGTGACTAGAAATTGAACTAACATTGTAAAACGTTGTGCTATCTGAACTAATTGATAACGCGCCATCAATAGCATTTGTGAATCCACCTTGATCCGATGCTGCCGCTTGAGCTTTGTACTCTTTCGAATTCTCTGTGAAATTCTTAGAATTAGATATCTGTGCGATTGTATTCTGCAGACCATTTTGCATAATCTTCTGTTGCAAATTCAAAGTGCATCCCTCGACGTCCTTAATTGACACATCGCTCTGACAACTAGGAGCTGTCGTATCGTTTAATAAATTATTTTGGCTGCCATTCGAATTTGATAAGTTATCGAACTTATAATTCACATTATTATTCAAAGTAGTGATAGTCTGCTTTGGAAAATTATTAATAATAATGTTGTTCGTGGCTAAAAGCGCAATCTCATTGTTTCCACTAGAATCAAATTCGTGACCCGTAATTTTGGAATTATTCATCTCTTGCTGTACATTACTCCCGGTATAATTAACCTCTCCGTTAAAATTATTGGCACTCTGATTCAAAATATTTAATATAGAATCGCTAGGAACGTTAAGATCTTCTGTACTCTGTGCGGAAATATACGTTATATTCTCATTGTTATCCGTGTCGTTAGAGTTAAGCGGTATGATGGCGTAAGATGGCACAGAACTGTCGCTGACGTTCACTTCCTTAATGGCGACCTTGGCTTCCGGTTGAATAGGATTATTCTTGTCATCTGTTGTCACGCCTTGAGACTCGTCTTTCTGTGATTGCTGAAAATTCATGCAATATTTTCGTCCACTGCACAGAATTAGACTCCTTTTGAAATCTATTATACACTATACATACCAACTCTTTATCGTTCGCAACCTTTCTGTGAGTTTTTAAGTGACTTTTCAGACTGTGTGGTGTTGTGAAGGATCTCTTGCAGTAATTATAAGTGCACATATAAGGACGCTCACCCGTGTGTGTCCTCTTGTGCGTTTTCAAGTGATGCGACGCTGTGAATGCTTTGCCGCAGCCCTTTTCTCTGCATCTAAAACAATAGGATGGATGCTTATAAACTTTGATTATTGTTTTTCTATAATTTTCTACGTTTTATTAATATATTCTTAATACCTAAAATACTTAGAAAACATACTTGTACGGTCGTTCCTGTGTGTGAGTGCGAACGTGCTTCTTGAGGTCACTCAATGTCGTGAAGAATTTGACACATCCGGTTTCCTCGCAATTGAATGTATTTCCACTATGAAGTCTTTGGTGAGCTCTCAGTCTGTAAAGGGTATTGAATGCCTTCTCGCAGCCGCTGTGATTGCATTCAAACGGTTTTACTTTCGTATGTACCCTAATGTGGATCTTTAGGCTGTATGACGTAAGAAAGGCCTTGCCGCAACTTGGCTCCGCGCACTTAAACCGATACTCGCCTGAAATTCGTCAGAATTGCTTCGGCATGGTAACGGAATGAAAAAGCGGGTGGAAAAAAGTATATATAATAATATAAAAAATATATATCGTGCTCGTATCCCCGTAAGCACTATCCGGAAGCCATGCAAAACACGAAACATGTTCCCACTTATGATACAGAGCCAAAAATAAACTGAATATCTCTTGTGAACTTGGCCCACATTTTATAGTTAATATTTTTGCGTTCTCGAAATTCATTAAGAAACGAACAGGTGCAAACGTCGACATGGATTCGGTTGTGAGAGTGTTTTTCGAGGTGGCACATTTGTAGTTGCAATCTTACTTACTTACCCCAAATCTTAATCCTTAGCAAGCATCAAAACATAAATGCCGATTAGTATATATACGGTCTATATATTTTCTATTGGTATATATATATTTCATATAAATATATATATATATGTATATATATAAACTTTCATGTTCTCATAATAATGTCATGTATCGAAATTACAGGACCGCCCGCGCAGCAAAGCAATCTGTTTCTGGTTATTCTGTTGGTAAAAAATTGCGCCAAGGCAATTTAAAAAACATGCAAAGCACATTTGGCAAGTGAGCCCAGCCTGGTGAAAAAAATATCAATGGTGTCAGGCAAATCTTTCTACCATATGTATTTGTAAGCGTGGTAAGCTCAAATAGAATAGTATCTGCTAACTGTTGTATTGTATTTCAAATAAAGGCGCCTGGCCAATTAATATTTATACATATATAAATCGAAAGATCGATAGATATAGACACGTACAAATAATCGTGCGTATACGTATAATTTTAGTAAGAAAAAGAGTTGAGTACGAATCTGCAGGTATTTTGTGGCAGTATACACGAAATAAAAATAAAATGCATACAGTTTCAGAGTAATTCAATATAAATCGCAACGAATTCGTAAGATGTTATTATTTTACAAGGAAAGAAATTATAAATTTAAGAAAAAAAGAAAGTACGTAACATTCAAAATCAGGACTTACAAACTATGGAAAATGTAAGGGCGCTTGTTCGTCCCTATTTATTTTTTCATGCTTGAGTACACTTTTTGCGCTGGTACTACACGTGACTCTCTATGATAATTCCCCTGTTATAAATTCATCATTTATCAAGCACATCAAGCAGACAGATATACGTATAAAAGCTTAAACAGATCTCTTGTCATTGCTCACATAACGAATACAGAGGATATTGTGCGATATTATCAATTCAAAAGCAGCTTTCTTTTTTTTTTCACAAAAAGCTCGCGTGATTTTATTACACAAGTGCTCTCGTATCCCGAAAGATATTATATTTTCATTTTGTTTATCAAAAATACTTTTTTACTTCTTTTCACTAGCGTAATGACACAGATGCACCAGTATCCTTACCTTTATGAGTCTTCATATGCGTTCGCAGATTCCCAACGGTGCTGTAGGTACGTGAACAGCCATCGTACTCGCAAGTATAACGACTAATATGTTTTTGATTTGTATCCGGATCTGTACTTTCTATTGTGATGGTGGCATGTGAAGGATCATCTGGCATGGAGTCATTTTGCCCTGGATGAATTCTCATGTAAATCTCATTGGGGCTGATAGTGTGATGAATATACCTGTTGATGAAATAAAATTGTTACATTAGTCATTGGCAGTATATATTTTTAGAGTTATTTTTTTATATACTAAAATCGTGTAAAGGACCTTGAAATCATAGCTCAGGAAATGAAATTTAATATATGGCGGGTTAAAATTCAAAGATGTGACGACCAATAGGTTTACATTATTTAAGAACTAAAAATAAAATACTGCTGGTTTGCATGAGTAATACGTGGCAAGATATATTGTTATTTGAGGACACTGGGAGAACTAAATTTATAGCACTCTACGGACTACACCTGCTTTGCACCTAAAGAGCTCTTGTTACGTCTTCCAATTATCTAATATCAATGTCAGATTTCACAGATTATGTTAAAGGTATGCTTCCTTGCTTAAAAAATCCCAGATTGAATGTCTTCATGCTACTTTGTTTGGCTGGTGTGGAACTAAATGATTGGCCTCTTAAAAGCAATGCTATTTTTAAATGCAACATTCATGCTGCTGTTGTGTTTACAACATTTTGAACTTGAATTTTTCTGGTTAAAGATTTCTAACGTGGGAGTAAGCTTGTTTCTAAAACATGAGAAGCTTCTGTAAAAGGTTACTGTTGAAATTATGGTAATTTTTTTTTTTTAATTATATATTGGGAAAGTAAACCCTTTTTTTATTGGCACTTATCAAGAAGAACAATGTTATTGGAATTATTTAGTTAAGTTTGAATCAAGTTCTGACTCTAGCATGTATTTATAAAACTAAGTGCTACCACAGTGAAGTAAAAATAGAGTGGCATGGAAATATTGGAGATGAATATATATTCAAAAACGTTATATGTTTCACTTGAATAGCCTATTACAAAATACTGCCACCTACTAAAATGGTTTGGTATAATAATTATTTAACTGTAATTCCACTTATTTCTCAACCATGTCTAACCAGTAACAAGGTAACTTGGCATGTCAGTTCTTCTTGTTTGTTCAAACTCAAAATAAAAAGACTAAAATTTTCAATTAAAGAACACTAATATAAAAATCCTTATATTCGAAGGAGCTATCAGAATAGATCATTTTGGTAAATCAAACAAACCTGAGTGATAAGCACTCCAATTATTTACAGAGGGACAGCACAAGTAATTATGATACCATCTTATTGAAACTTACAATAATTTTAAAAAGCTATATAATTTCTCCTTATACCATTATCAGAGTACATAAAATTAATACAATACTTCAAAAAACTTAAGAGATGTTTACACAGTGTAGAAAACATGCCAAGAAATTAACATACTATTATTATTTATAACATGCATTCATTTACGGACTTAGAGGTTCTTCATATAATGATACCGTCATAATTGCAAAATATTACAACCTATAATCAAATTAACAAAAGCTCTAGTTTCAAAAATCGTAATGCCCTTATAAGGGAAGAGGCACAAAATACACTGAATATCTTGAACGATCTACACAATTATAACTGGCAGTCTATTGTTTTGACATGTGGTCATAAGATACTTTTAAAACAATACAATAATTGTTAAAAAATATACTAGAATTACAATGAAAATCCAGTCTTACCCCGTACTGTCATCGGTAAGCCTTTCGGTGTAGAGCGAGTCTTCCTCGTCGAACTTTCCATTACTGACAGTTTGCGTTTGCTCGTATACTATTCCAAAACTGGAAAGGTCGAGACTGTCATCCAGACAGTCCTGTAAATCGTGTGTCACGAGGATATTATCAAAATTTCCGTCAATTCCGACATCGTTTCCATCAGCGTTAAATTTTCCACTTTCCCACGTCGCCATATTTTTTTGTGGCTGCACAAACAAGTCATGAAGTAATACTGACATAGATGCGCCACCTAAATTCATCGGTCCACTGAACTCTATCCATATTGGAATCTGTACGCCAGTATTCGGAGGTAACCCGCGGCGTGTTCCAATATACCCTGTGAGCACTGCAATATGTGACGTCATTGAAGTATACTGTTGAAGCATTCCATTTTCGTTAGCGCCAGTGTTTATAACTGGTTGGGAATAATATCGGAACGTTTTTCATTAACTGGTGAATTACACAAATAAAACAAAGGGAGGCAATACCAAAAATATGATTATTTGCATCAAAACAAAAGAGAAAAAAATAAGATGATCAAAAAGCTATCATTTACCATTTTGTGCACATAATGATTGTTCTGGTGTTACACATATTTCGTACAAAACGTTTGTTTCGCCGTCAATTAACGTTACCTTCACCATTTTTCCCGCCTATTATTGTAGGGAGTGGGGGACCACTGGGAGTACCAGAGATGAGTAGGGAGATTGCCAATGAGCCTGTTTTTGGTGAAGGCAATTTTTCTCTGGTTTCGGCGCGCCACCTTAGCGGAGGGCCCTCGAAGCAGTTCCACGTTTTTGATTGGTCGTGTATATATAGTAATACTACGCGTGATAATCTGGAGCTGTGTTTTGGCG